GGTAGCGGAGCCCACATCAGTAAGGGTCAGATTACAGTCAGCCTGGGAGAAGTTAAAAAGGGGATTTTCCTTTAAAGTAAAGAAGAAGTTATTGAAGACAGTTGCCTGTCCTTCGTGGGCAAGTTTAGGAAGCCACCAGTTGCATAAAAGCCTGGAATCATTTGTTTAACTTTCTGAAGACAAGAGAAGTTTCTGTTTGATTGGTCATTAATAAAAGACTTTATTATACTTCACAAGCCATCTAAAGATCATTTGTGGTGGAAAACCTCTGAGAACTTCTCTTTGGGTCCCCTGGCTTCCCGCTGGGCAAAGGTTGCACGTCCTGTTCTAAAGGAAATTCTTTACAGGCCCAGCGCGGAACAGAACAGAGGTAATAAAAGAATAATCTGAATATAAGTCATCAGTCAGTGTGACTGAGGAGAAAAGTGTTCTTTGAGAACAAGTTTACAGTTAAATTACTGATAAGAAGAAGAAAATATAAGCTATAAGTGCCCAGCCAGGAGAATGAGAAAGAATTACATTTTAAAAGTGAAGAAAGTTACCAAAGCAAGTTGGCATAAGATAAGCCATTCTGAATGTTATATAGTAACAGTTTTTATTCATTCATAACAGGATAAGCCGGTTGTAACAATATCCAGGAAGCACTCTGAAGAAGAATACTGTATAACCAATACGCTTTATGTACCTGAGAATCCATAAATAAACATTTCTTTGTTCTGTTACTACATGAAAGCCTTGTGTCACGTTACTGAATTGAAGAAATTCTACAGGAAGGTGGCTGAAGATTAGATTGGAGCTGAATACAGTTTACAGTATTGGTTTACATAATAAAAAGACACATATAAACATTTTTAAAGTGAAACCGTACAAACAAAACAGATACAATCTTCACAGGGCCTGTTCCAGCTTCTTAGACTGTATTCTGGCTTTTACTGTATTGCATGTAAGATGACAATATTATGGCAAAAATGCCCATGGCTTGCAAATAATTGCTCTGAAAAAGCACCAAATTAACTAATGGTAGTATGAGGTCTCCTGTTTAAAATACTGAATTTCAGCACTTTTAATCCTGTACCCTACTACGGCCGGCTCAGTTTTTAATAATGTTCTGTTGTATTGTTACCGCTTTTGTTTTTCTGCTTCAACTGTTTTATTTGCTATGTATTGCATTGTTGTATTGTGTTGTTGTATTGTATTGGGCTCCGGCCTGTTGTAAGCCGCATCGAATCCTTTTGGAGATGCTAGCGGGGTACAAATAAAGTTATAATAATAATAATAATAATAATAATAATAATAATAATAATTCCAGAACTCGGTACTCCCTTTGAATGGAAATGGTTTCTCAGGCAATGGTTAATTTTCCTTCTTGCTGGATGCCTTTAAGTTGACTTTCACTTATGCAGACCCTATGAATGAGAGATCTCCAAACCATCCTAGCCTCAACAGCTCTACTCAGATATCAGATTCTGAGTCTATCCCTCTGGAATGTAGTATCTTCTCATGGTACGGCCTCAGTTTGGTCCCCTTGGCATCCAAGGAGATTTCAGATAAGCTTTGATCTTTGTTGTTGCTGTTGTATTATAAACTGGATAAAATAAATTAGACTCTCAAAGGCTTTAATTAAAATCGATGTTGAAATGATGTTAGCATTTGTGCCAACTGTGCTTCTGAGGGCAGAATATTCCAAAGCTGAGGTGCCGTAGCAGAGAAGGCCCTCTCTCGCATCCTCCCACCATGTACTGTCGCCTTTGTGTCCCCTCCTTTCATGGTTGGAGATGGGCTACATAGAGTATTGCCATTTTGTAACCTTTGGGACTTCCCACAGCTGCTGCTTCTGCCCAATTCCAGTGTTTAACATCTTCCGGCACACAGATGCTGTGCATTTTTGTTTACCAGCAGAATTGCTAAGATTTCATTGGAAGCATTGGAAATGGCTGCAGAGGCCATGATGGACATCATCAAGCCAGTGTGGCTTTCATCCCCAGGAAGCTGACCACCTTTTGGAGCCTAATTGTGACCCTATCTACAGTGTCATATAATGCAATTTGAAACCCATAAAAAGCAGTTTAACAGCAGTATAGATGGGGCCTGTGGAAGAGACAGCTATGAGGAGGACAGTTCACAATCAAAATAGAGAGAGAAGGAAATGAGGAAAGGTAGAAAATGTAAGAAAGGGATAAAGAGTAATAACAAAATGTGTGAATGGATGGTGTATGATGAGGGTAGGAGGGGGAGAGACAAACCTATTCACCTTTTACTCCAGACCCAACCAACATTATTGTCATTTGGCTTGCTGTGAGTTTTGTGGGCTGTATGGCCATGTTCCAGAAGCATTCTCTCCTGACATTTTGCCCACAACTATGGCAGGACTCCTCAGAATTGTTGGAAACTAGCCAAGTGAGGTTGATATATTTGTGGAATGTCTAGGGTAGGAGGAAGAACTCTTATCTGCTTGAGGCAAGTGTGAATATTGCAATTGGCCACTTTGATTAGCATTGAATGGCCTTGCAGCTTCAAAGCGTGGCTGGTTGCTACCTGGGGGATCCTTTGTTGGAAGGTGTTAGCTGGCCCTGATTGATTCTTGTCTGGAATTCCCTTGTTTTTTGAGTGTTGTTCTTTATTTACTGTCCTGATTTTAGAGTTTTTAAATACTGGTAGCCAGATTTTGTTCATTTTCATGGTTTCCTCATTTCTGTTGAAATTGTCTATATGTTTGTGAAGTTCAATGACTTCTCTGTGTAGTTGGCGTAAGGAAAAGTGCAAGAAAAATCCCTTCACTCCTGATCTGTTGTCTGGTTTGTTTAACTCTTCACATCAAAATTGTTCAGGAAAACAGTGGTGCATGCTTCAAGCTTTCACGGTATGGAGCTGCTGAATCTTATGAATAATCCAGACCGTATAGCTTAACATCCCATTCTGCATCATTTCTGCACAGCTATACACCTCCTTCACAGCCCTTTCCCATTTACGTAGCAATACCACCCATGTGAATGCATTTGGAGGATTCACCAACATGACTGTGATCTGATTGTGGCATGCTACATATAACAGTGTTGGAAAATACACACACGTACTGAAAAATATGTGGTGCAATAGGTTTATTTGTACGCACTAAGAAGTTAATGCGTTTAACAGCTGATTCAAAAAGAGCAAATACATTTCCCCATATCTATATAGTAGCAATCTGTGCCATAAAACCACCATATACTTTCTCATTTTTAAAAATACAGCCACCATATACAAAAACTGTGTATATACAAATCAATTTGGGTGGGGGGGTTGATTGTATAAAGATTTTACAGCTTTTACATTTGGTAAGTTCTAAAAACAGGGCACAAAATATAGATGATGTACACTAAAAAGAAATAACTATCAAGACAGTACACAGTCTTTGGTATTTCCTATTGGTGTCTATCAGTACTCGGGGTAACTGGGTCCATTAGATCATTCGTCTAAGCAAGCAATTTAAATGTGTCAAGGGCTTTGACCTCTTTTTGGGTCTTGCTATTAGTCCCAACTAGAGCAGATCCTAAGAGCCAGCATAATGTAGTGGTTTGCATGGTGGACTAGGGACATATCTACATGGATGAAATCAAATTGGCTCACCTTTCAGCTACTGCAGAGAGACCACATGCCATGTGGCTGGATTTTCACAGAAGTCATTAATCTGGCAGAAGGGGAAACTCAATTTCCTTCCAGGAAGCTCTGGAGTGATCCTACTGTTTTGGAGGTGTGGACTGCTGGATTGGGTGAGATCTGGACCAATCAAGTCTCCACACATCCAAGAGATCCATCACTGTGTCATTGGCCACAAGCAACTCCTTCACTCTGCCATGGAGCTAGGTAAAGTGATATTGCCAGCAAGTCTCTGCAACAGAACTGATTTTGGCCAATGTCACAGCACCCTTGACATGACTGGCCATCTGGAATACTTTCAGGTTTCATTGAGGCAACCTTAATATATCCTGGAATATCAAGGTAAGTGTAGATCCATCTTAGAGACCAGGATATCTAGGTAAGTGTAGATCCATCTGAGAGACCAGGATTTGAATCTCCACTCAGCCATGGAAACCTGATGAGTGTCCTTGGGAAAGTCATTTTTCTCAGCCTCAAAACAGATAAGGTTCAACCCTCTTTGGACAAATCTCACCATGAAAACCCTATGATAGGTTTGCCTTAGGGTTTCTATAAATCATAAATAACTTTAAGGTACACAACAAAATAAGAGTGGACCCAGTGAAACAACTAGAATTTGCTTATATGTTGACTCACCATTTTCCAATTGAGACTAATCAGCAAAATTCTGGTCAATATCTCCAACCCCATCCATGAACCCCATCCAACCTAAAGTCCTTGGTTGTAAATCCATGAGGGAGTATGGTCCCTTAAGAGAAGTTGGGCAAATTGCAGCCTTGTGGCCCACTATCCCTCCAGATTGTCCATATTGTCCCTTTCTCTGGCAAAAAAAATGATATTAATTACTTTATCTGATTTGTTGATCATAATAAATCTTTGATATTAATTGCCTCTTGGACTCTTCCAAGAGAGGCAATTTACCTCTTTAAAGGGTTGCACTGTTTAACATACACTCACCGAAGCCATCTGCTTTTCTCAAAACCTGAACAACTTCTAGGCATTTCTAATTTAGTTGAGTTTTTTTACTTGTTTTGTTTGGCTTGCTACGTAGCCCTAGAGGTTGAATGCTCACAGCTAAACTGAAGCACACACAAAAGAGTTTGAGAAAAGATTGAGTATGAGTGTGTGTAGACGTGCCTTCAAATCAAATGTTAACTTATGGCAATCTCTTAGTATTTTTACTTTTCTAGGCAAAAATACTAAGAGGTGTTTGCCAGTTCTTGTGAAAAATAGACTACAGTATAGTATTCACTGGCAGCCTCCCATCAAAGAGCTAAACGGGACTTAGTTTCAAAGATCGGTTACAGTATTTAGACCCTTTGTACTGCTTTTTTTTTCTGTGTCAGAAGCGACTTGAGAAACTGCAATTCGCATCTGGTGTGAGATAATTGGCTAACTGCAAGGGCATTGCCCAGGGGACACCCAGATGTTTTGATGTTTTTACCATCCTTGTGGGAGGCTTCTTTCATTTCCCTGCATGGTGAGCTAGAGCTGACAGAGGGAGCTCAACCCACTCTCCCTGGATTCAAACCACTAACCTGTCTGTCTTTAGTCCTGCCGGCACAAGGGTTTAACCCACTGCGCCACCGGGGGCTCCTTTTGTTTTGCTAAAATAGCTAAATGGCAACCCAAACTAATCTCTAAGGATATATTCAACAAGGAGATGGAACCAGGTTACCTGTATAACACACGCACTTTTAAATATGTGTCTGCTGTATTCATTCCTTGCTTTTTAAAACTGCAATAGCCTACATATATACATAAACAGATTTAATAAATCTATGTTCAAATCTTTACAAAATTCAGGTTAAAAAAACTTAGCAGCTACTCGAAGAGGGGGCTATCCAAGTGGAAAAATTCACTCTTTCATAATTGAGATTCTAGTTGGGAGTGGAAGGGATTGTTTCATGTTCGACATACACACAGGGAAGGAAGGAAGAGCATATTTAAAGTTTCAGAAGTATAACACTAACTATAGGAATTACCCTGTAGAATGACAAGAAGAAAGGGTTAAATCCAATTGTTAGTTTCAACCAGAGAGTCCCATTGAATAGTTGGAGTTTATATGTGTTGCTTTACAGTTCAGGAAGTAATTCAATGGTAATGCTCTAGTTGAAGCAAACAACAGGAACTAGTCAATCTGTATTATCCCCTCCACAAAGACATTGCCACTGCATATTCAGAATGCTTCTCTCTTTCCATCATCTTCTTCATGTTCCTCCATTTCTCACCTTTTATGTGAAACAAGAGCTTGTCTACATTGCCAAAAAATTCTGTTTGTCACCACAATTTTTCAGTTTGCATTGGCAGTGATCCCATTAAGGCCACACACAGCATGGCCATATATTTCCCCATGCTGAACTCACCTTGCTAGCAACATGCCCTAAACTCTGTAAAATCTCAGGATAAAAAAGTAAGGGTTTCTGAAATAGATTAAAGCTCAAAGAAATGCATTACAAATGAATCCCACCCATGGGAGAAAAGCGGGATAAATAATAATAATAATAATAATAATAATAATAATAATAATAATAGTCACAGACCTTTGTGTCAGGATCAGAGCCCCTAAGAGGTGAGTATGAGTTTTTGTAGACTGTGTAGACAAGCCTCAAGTCAGGCAAAGATGCTGTTGTAAGTAATTAATCGCATATCTCTAAACCAGGTTAAGAATTCTCTTTCTAATTGAAAGGATGCTTCCAGTTTTTTGCCTCCTTAGTCCCATTCTTCATAGATCATATTATTATAGAAGAGAAGTGGGCAATTAGTATCAGGCTCTCAATATTGTTGGGCTGCACCTCCCACCAGCACAGCCAATGACGAAGGATGATGGGAGATGTAGTCCAACAATGTTTGGAGAACCAAAAGTTGCCCATCCTGATTACAAACAAATACTTCATGCTGCCGAAGGTACATGGAAGAACCTGGTGTGATCCACATCCACTTGATTTTTAAATGCCCAAGTCCTGCAGTTTTGAAAGCTTCCAAGTTGGGATCTCAACATACATATATTATTAGCACAGATGAACTCTTCCAATGATTCTCCTCTCTTAGAAATCTTTATCCCAGCCTGAAAGTTCATCTGGTGGGATCCCCTGGTCAGGTGGGTATCTGTCGAAGTAGCTGTAATCCATTGGTCCTGAAAGCTAAAATTTGCAAGAGAGGCAAGTTTTTTAAAAAAAATGTTATTTAAGTTTTTCTTCAGTTGTTTAATTTCAGACAATATCCCTTTGGGCAAACAGAAGGAATATGGTAAACACTAAAGAAATGGCAAATGTGGTATATGTAGTAAATGGACAATAAATGGTGTAAAGTGTGTAAATAATGTCAAAAGTATGGGTTGGAATCAAAGAACCTTGGACAGCATGAGGAACTCTATACCATTGGTCAATCTCACTCAGTTTTTGTTTGTATTTCCAGAATTTCAAATAGGCCTTCCCCAGAGCATGATTCCCACTGAGGCTGTCGGCACAACTGGGAATAGCCTCTTCGCATCCCCCCCCCCCAACACCTTCTTGTTTGGCCTCCAGAGGTTCCAGGTTCTTCTGGGCCTTTTCACACAGGTGGGTTTATGTGTGTGATTTTAACGTGCCATCAAATCTAATGTCCACCTCAATTTTTGGCAATGCAATTTGGCTCAGAAAGGTGAGCATTCGAATGGAGTAAACATTATTAGCATGCAAAAAATGTGCTGTAGTGCTGAGATACAACCCTTGCCTTACTATCATGTTTACTCCAGTCGAATGTTTACCAGGAACCCCTGGAGGCCAAACAGGGAGGTGGGGGATGCAAAGAGGCTATTCCCAGTCACGTTGGCAGCCTCAAGGCTCCGTGGCACCCGGAGAAGGATGAGGAGAGCCTGGCTGCTGAACCAGTCATTCCTGCTGCTAAGCTGTGGATTCTGCCTCCTGGGGTGGTCCTAGGAGTCTCTTGCCCTTCTCATCCCAGGCTCACTCCCATGTGGTTCCTAATTAGTCTCATCCACAAAGTCTTCCACTTTGCACTCCCATCAGTTTTGAAAGCCTTGTGAACAAGGCCAGTTGAGAATCGTGTGCAGCCACAGCCTGACGTTGGGTTCCCAAATGGCCTCATTCATGTTGACATTAGATGTCTGCACTTGTGGGTGCATTACATTTGAGATCAAATCCATTTTATGTAATGTTAACCTTCAAAACAGAGGTATGCATTACATTGAATGGTGCATTATAGACAAGTAAATACAGGGGTTTTTTTTCTTTTACTATAGGACATTCCCCCTAGCACTATGATCCAAGTCTTCTCCTATGACTGCTCCCACAAAAGTTCTCAAAATTGCAAAAGGTACTTTAACCTGTGCAAGTAGTCAGTGAATTAATTCAAAACTGTTAGGCAGCAATCCTCTGGCCTTGGAGATGCAAGCTTGGGGCACAAGATTGATTGGAAAACCCTCTCTGCAATTTTATATAAAATTCCAGCCTCAGAAAGTAAGCTCTGATGTCAGAGCCATCACCCTAACCATACTCTCAGCAATCACTGCAATTTTGGCAGGGGCTCCTTCTTTAATATTGGAACTTTGTTCTTAAAAGGGAGACAGGTATGTTGGAAGTGTGGCAGTGAGAAAAGTGGAAGGGTATGTGGTTTCTACTTGTTTTATAACCCCACCTTAGCCCACTTCCAAAAAATGGAGTAGTTTTGAATACATAGCATTGCTGGTTCAGTACCTCTCTTTTTAAAGGTGAGGATAACTTCCTTGCCTTGAGTCCTTCCCAATTAAATCCATTCAACCACCTAAACAGAAAATTTAAGAACAAACAAACAAAGAATCCACAATGAAACAATTACAGTGTTAGGTGAAAAATGTATCTGTGGAAAATTAACTCCATTTCATAATACAGGTCAAGTATCCTTTTTCCAAAATGCTTGGAACATAAAGTGTTTGGGATGTTTACTTTTTCAAAAGTTTCGGCTACTTGCATATACATAGTATCTTGGAAATGGGACGCAACTCTAAATGGTAAATTCATTTATGTTTCATATTCGTCTCACACAAAGCCTGAAGGCAATTTCACACACAATATTTTAATATAGTGTATGGAACAAAGTTTGTTACATTGAACTATTTGAAAGCAAAGGTGACACTATCTCAGCCACCCATATGGGCTAATTTTGGAGTATTTCAGATCTTGGAATTCTGGGTGCTCTGCCTTTACAGCAGAAATGGGAAACATATGCTTCCTGTCAAGGGCTGAATTCACTCTAGGGTGATCTATCAGGGACCACATATCAACAGTGGTCAAAGCTGCCCACTTTCTCTTGCCACATCTTCATGTTTGCATTCTTCTGTCTTATGTTTCTATTTTTTTTTAACCAAAACCCACTTTTTCCTTTCTCTCCTTCCCTCCTTTCTTCCTCCCTTTATGCCCTTTTCCTCAGGTCCCTTCTTTCACCCTTTTCATCTCCATACAACACAGTCTGCTTTTCTCAACTATGGGACCCAATCACTTGTAGTGGGCTTTTGAAACTAGGTCATAGCTTAAATGTAGCCCTGGGGCTAAATGTTGCCGGCTCTTATCTCAGAACATTAACAGAAAAGTTAAGAGAGAGGAAAAGCAACAATATAGTGCAAGAAAACCAAATGTGAATTGTTCACTTGCTCTTTCTGTACCTGTGCCTCTTAATATCATGGATGCCATTCTTCAGATTTCCTAATCTCTCTGTAGGGTTTTGTCTAAAAGAACAACAACAACAACAACAAAATAAATAGTAAAGATTTTATAATATAGGTATTTCATCTTTAGTAATACTGGGACTGTTATATATTAACTTCCACGTGCAATCCAAAGAGTTGAAAACTACACCAAAAGAACCTATGAATAATATACCTATTTATTTATTTATTTACTATATTTATATACTACCTTTCTCACCCCAAGGGGGAGCTGAAAGCGGTTTACAACATACTAATGGCAAAAATTCAATGCCAACCTACATGTAGACAGAATAAAATCATAGTAACTGCCCCGGTGGCGCAGTGGGTTAAAGCACTGAGCTGCTGAGATGGTTGATCGAAAGGTCGCAGGTTCAATTCCGGGGAGCGGTGTGAGCTTCCGCTGTCAGCCCTAGCTTCTGCCAACCTAGCAGTTCGAAAACATGCAAATGAGAGTAGATCAATAGATACCGCTCCAGCGGGAAGGTAACGGCACTCCATGCAGTCATGCCGGCCACATGACCTTGGAGGTGTCTACGGACAACGCTGGCTCTTTGGCTTAGAAATGGAGATGAGCACCACACCCCAGAGTCAGACATGACTGAACTTAATGTCAGGGGACTACCTTTACCTTTACCTAACCGATAACATTTAACTATAAATTAAAATAATCAAAACCAATTTTTTTGTCGTGTCAGGAGCGATCTGAGAAACTGCAAGTCACTTCTGGTGTGAGAGAATTCGCCGTCTGCAAGGACGTTGCCCAGGGGACTCCCAGATGGTTTGATGTTTTATCATCCTTGTGGGAGGCTTCTCTCATGTCCCCGCATGAGGAGCTGGAGCTGATAGAGGGAGCTCATCTGCCTCTCCCCGGATTCGAACCTGCGACCTGTCGGTCTTCAATCCTGCCGGCACAGGGGTTTAACCCACTGCACCACCGGGGGCATTAAAATGAGGCATAAACAACATGAGACATAAACATACCTAAGGAAGCACCTTTCCTGTTTTAAGATTGTGTATTGCTCTCCTAGTTAATCTATGACTATAGTTATGGCCATAGGGTGTTTTAGACTGAGCAGATAAAACAGGTGCTGTAAGATACCTAAGAATGTAAGAGTCTAATTGAAACATATCAAAGGCCCATCTAGTTTATCCTTAAGTTCCCACAGGAGTCAACCAGATGTCCCTAGTAAGCCCACAAGCAGTTTATTTTCCAAAGCTGCAACATCTGTGTAAATACATGTGTATGTACAATGTCAGCCCATGCCCTGAAAGAGTTTCCCTCACCTGAAGTAACCTAAATTTAGCCATTTTTCAAAAGTTAAGTTGACCCAACCTGATTAAAAAGATATGGTACTAAGCTGTGGCTTGCAGCTATTATGAATACTTCTTGAAAACAGCACAGCAGAAGTTTCCCAAGGTTCATATGTAATATTAAAATTGCTGCAGGCTTCTAGTTAATTATAAGGCATGAAGCTAAGAGGGTGAACACACGTGGGTTTTTTTTCAGGGCACTAAGGTGCTGACTCGGTTTGCCCAATCTGTTTGAAGTGTGGGAAGGAGAACACCTAGAAATAAGGTGCCCCATTAAGTATCTTGCATTCTTTTGCCTCAAGCAATACATAACCCTGGATCCTCTGGCTTTCCTAGTGCTCTGCCCTTTCTCCTGTGATGAGATTCAAGGAAGCATTCCCTACAGCACTTGTTCTGAACCTTTGGTCCTCCTGTTTTTTATCACCCAATTCCCAGAATACCAAACTATTAGTCATGGTGGTTGGGGCTTCTGGGAGTTGACGTCTAAACACTTTATGACACGGCACTATTGTAGTGTTATATTCCACTTTAACTGGCACGCCAACATCCTGTGGAATTCTGTGGTTTGTAGTTTAGTGAGACCCAACAGCTGTCCGTATGACAATTAGAATTTCCTCAGCATGAACTGCAAAACTCAGGATCCCATAGGATGTTGCCATAACAATGTAGTGCAGTGTTGCTCAACCTTCCTAATGCCGTGACCCCTTAACACAGTTCCTCGTGTTGTGGTGACCCCCAAACATAAAATTATTTTCATTACTACTTCATAACTGTAACTTCTCTACAGTTGTGAATAATAATGTAAATATCCCATAAGCCAGATGTATATCAGATATACATCCTGCATATCAGATATATATCAGATTTATATCAGATATACATTGTGGTGGCACAGTGGGTTAAACCACTGAGCTGCTGAACTCAATTAGGTCGCAGGTTCAAATCTGAGGAGTGGCATGAGTTCCTGCTGTTAGCCCCAGCTTCTGCCAACCTAACAATACAAAAACATGCAAATGTGAGTAGATCAATAGGTACCACTTTGGTGGGAAGGTAATGGCGCTCCATGCAGTCCTGCTGGCCACATGACCTTGGAGGTATCTACGGACAATGCCAGCTCTCCGGCTTAAAATAGAGATGAGCACTAACCCCCAAAGTGGGACATGACTGGACTTAATGTCAAGGGAAAAACTTTCATCCTTACTTTAGGATGTATTTTCATTCACTAGACCAAATCTGTCACAAATGTCCGATATGCCCAAATTTGAATACTGATAGGGTTGTGGCTGGATTGATTTTGTCATTTGGGAGTTGTGGTTGCTGAGATTTCTAGTTAACCTACAATCAAAGAGCATTCTGATTTCCACCAATGATGGAATTGAACCAAGCTTAGCACTCAAAACCCCCACAACTAACAGAAAATACTGGAAGGGTTTGGTAGGCATTGGCCTTGAGTTTTGGAGTTGTAGTTCGCCTACATCCAGAGAGCATTGTGGACTCAAACAATGATGGAACTGGAAAAAACTTGGCATGGATATTCAATATGCCCAAATGTGGGCACTGGTGGAGTTTGGGAAAAATAGACATTGACATTTGGGAGTTGTACTTGCTGGGATTTATAGTTCACCTACAATCAAAGAGCATTCTGAACCCCACCAACGATAGAATTGGGCCAAACTTTCCACACAAAACTCCCATGACCAACAGAAAATACTGTGGTCTTTGCAACCAGGTGGAGAAATGCTGATGTAGTGCAATGAGGCTCTTAAAAGGTTGAAAAGCAACAACCTAGAGGCCTTCTAGTCAGATACTCAGAGATTATTTAGCTCATTCAAAATTGGGTCTCATGAAACTCTTGAACCAGACACTATGCAATGTTGCCATGTTGTGTGCAAGAAAAGAAAGGGTCAACTCACAGTTGTCAAAGGCTTCAATGACAGCCCATGTGGATCACCTCAATACTTAATTAATTACCAATTTCCGGCCACAATTGCAAGATACGTCTCAAGATGACTCCTAGTCTTCTCCATTGCTACATGCTCATTTTCAAGTTAGTTGCCTAGCAACTTGCAAGAAAGTGAACAGAAGAGCCAAAAGATAGCTGATTATAACAGCAACCTTTACAGCCTAATGTGCAGGAAAAGGGATTACTTTTAAAAGAATGAGCTCAATGACATGTTGGGGATGTTGAAGCCACTCACTTGACAGTGGTATGCTCTAGGGCTAGTGCTGCCAGTTTTCCAAAATAGCAATGAGGGACAGTCAAAATTTATGACATGCAGGAAGTATGTGTTCTACTTAAATGCCAGTTAAAAGTCGTGATTTCACATATTTCTCCATAAAATTACATATTATTATTATTCACATTCATAAATTCTATGATACACACATTTCTGTCTTTATAAGGGGCCCACATACCTCAAAATGTGGGGTTTTATTTTGTCGTTCAATTCAGTCAAAGTTAAAAGAGAAACTTTCCAATTTTCAAATAGGGGACATCCCTCATAATACCTGCTAGTCTATATCTGAGTGCTCAAATAAGAGATATCCTTATAAAAAGGCCACTTGGTAACTCTAATTGGGACCCATAGCATCTTCCTACCAGGGCTACGTTAACATATTGGTTTAGCACTGGATTTCACATCTATTCCCACTGCAGGATATCTAAGGAGGATTGACTCTTAGTAGATCTAAGGAGGATTGACTCTTTTTGTGTGTGTCAGGAGCAACTTGAGAAACTACAAGTCACTTCTGGTGTGAGAGAACTGGCCATCTGCAAGAGCATTGCCCAGGGTACTCCCAGATGTTTTACCATCCTGGGGGAGGCTTCTCTCTTGTCCTTGCTTGGGAAGTTGAGCTGACAGACGGGAGCTCACCCTGCTCCCTGGATTCAAACCGCTGACCGTTCGGTCAGCAGTCCTGCAGGTACAAGGGTTTAACCCATTGCACCACTGGGGGCTCTTGGTAGATTACTAGTAGATCACAATGAGAGAGCTGTTTTGCAGCATTTGAAAACCCTGACCAGACTCAAATCATCTTTTGATTATTTGGATTTTTTAAAATTAACTGAATAATTTCTATTTTCATGTATGTATGTATGCATGTATGTATGTATGTATGTATGTATGTATGTATATATGGGAATGGACACTTCATGGTGATTGTGATGAAAATCACAATGCTGGATCCACAATATACATCAATTTTGGACAAAAACCTGGTCTGCACAAGATCGGCCATATAATACCATTTTTCTTTGTGTATGATATATTTAGTTGAAACATAGCCATCTTGCTTTTGGATTGCTTTACAGGACACAATGCTGCTAAGGTGTTCTTCTCACATCTTTAGAGCACAGTTGCCCTTCTCACCTGCAGAGCCTCCGAATCAAATCTTCCGGCCGCTTTGATACTATTCTTGGAAAATCCAACCTTTCAACGCCTTTTAAAATCAAATTGTAGGTCGTCATTTGATCAGCTCCGGAAAATGGAGGACTAGAGTAGATACCACAATTGTAAGAAGAGTATTTTTCCAAAGGGAGAGAAAAAAAGACAAAAAATGTTAAGGGGGGAAAGAAACAGGGAGTACCTAAAAGGAAATTCTATTCTGGTGATAAACTAAGTTCATAGGAAACTGCCTTATACTATGGTGGGGATATCTGTTCATTTTGATACAACATTGTCTACCTTGAACAATAGTGTTTCTGCAATGTCTGCAAAGTTCTTTTCCTGCAGTCCCTACTACCTGATGCTTTTAACTAGAACTGATAGAATTGCAACAACCACTCTTTAAAACTTGTTTTAAAATTCTACCTCTTATGTAGATTTTGAGTTGTCACAGCAGATTTAGAGCAGTCACAGCAGCCAGGGGCTGATGGGTTCACTGATGACTTAGAGTTAGAAGGGATTGTGGGATTTCCTGGAATTCATAGTGATACAGGCCAAAGGAATGATGCAGGCCAAGAAAATGAAACCGCTTCAGATAGTGATGCAGGCCCTGAGAATGTAATTGCCTCTGAGCCTCAAGGTCAGTCAGAGGAGATGGAATCATCCTCCCTAGATAAGGGGTCCAGCGAATACGAATTGACAGGAAACTCTCACGGGAAAGCACCTAGTGATACAGATTTAAGCAAGAAAGCATGCTTGCAGATTAGCACAGATAGCCAGCTTTGTAGATCAACATGGCTTCACAGAAAATCCATGGCAGACGTAAAGATTTCATGTCTGTTTATTAAGAGCTAACATACACTCAGTTCAGGCAACATAGCATTCAAGTTAGAAGCTAGGCCTGAGTTTTTGGTTCATGTTTCAAGCTTTGGTCTTGGATTTAAGTATCCTGGGAGTTTTCCGTGTTCCTGTTTTGTAGTCTTGTTTCAGTTTTTGCTAAGCATTTCTTCTGCTTGTGATAGTCCCAAAATGCCTTTCCATTTTGTGACTATCTTTGGACAGTGTTATCTTTAGATTTATGAGAGACAATTGATTTCCTGTTGGGTTATCATCTATAGCTGACTCTTTTGGATTATACACCTTATTTCCTTATACCTGATTTTTCCATCTACCTTTCATGTGTTTTTTCTACAATAAACTGTTTGCTTATATTCTGACTCTTGTGTGGTGCTGTAGTCAATGGTGGCTTCAGGCCTGGGGTGCAACAAGAGTAGGCCCACTTCTAAAGCACATGCATTGACACTGAGATACACCTCCTTCTAGTTTGTAATAATTAGAAAAACAACAACACAATAAAAACAGTCTCATTATAAAACAAGATATAAAAATGGCAAATAGAAGTAATGAGTTCCACCTACTTCCCTGTAAGCAATTCATACACAAGGATTCCAAGAGACCAGAAGTCCACACTGAAATCATGGCCTTTATTCAGAATCACTTCAGGTGCAACATATTCAGGAGTCCCACAGAAGGTCCAAGTCTTTTGTCCAATTGCAATCTTCTTAGCAAATCCAAAGTCAACCTGAAAGGGAAAATAAGATATTGCTATCAGATACTGATATATAACTTTTCTTGCTCTTGTTATCAGCATCTACTTTGAAGTATTTGCATTAAAATTGATTGAGTTCTAACTTTTCTCTGCTCCCACAGCTCTCTCCCTGGCATGTAGAAATAATGGAAATGTGTGGAAATAATGGAAATGTATGGAAAACTGTGCATATATGTGAACATTAATAAATAATTTGTTTTACTGTTATAAAATGCTGTATCTATGTTGGGGCTTAAATTACAATTAGCCTCATAGAATTCACACACATACATATGTACAACTTACCAGCTTTATATATCCTTGAGCATCCAAAATTAAATTTTCTGGCTTCAGATCCCTGTAGATCACACTGATGCAATGCAAATACTCAATTGCTTCTGTCACACATCCAACACAGAATTTTGTGGTAGTTTCATCAAAGCTACCTCTGAAAGAAATCAACAATTTTCTCTGTGTTTCTCTGATTAGGAATAAAATAGCATATACGGCAGGCCCTCCTGGTTAAATTCCACTCTATAACAATGTCTGCCTGTCTGTCTCAAAGTTATGGCTCCAAGACCATGAAACTTATGGAAACCCTATGGCTGAAACATGATGTGCATACTAAGGAGAAATCAAGTTTGGAAAGAAAAACAAATTAATTCATCTAAAATTTAATTTTCATACGTTTGATGTCTACTGTAGTATCTTTGCTAACTAGGCCACAGATCCCTAAATGAGTTGATAAAATTGTAGATAAAGACCTTAATATTTAATTAAATCAAGAAATCAGGAGAAGATGAGGACACAGAAAGGCAGCTAGGATAAGATCTCCAAATGTAAAGATCATTATTGAATATCTCAGTCAGGATTGTCCATGCCATGTTACAACATCTCCATTTTCTAGTTGTAATTGTGTAAGCTGGACAGTCATGCCAGACACATGACCCTAGAGGTATCTACAAAAACACCAGCTCTTTGGCTTAGAAATGAAGATGAGCACCATCCCCCAGAGTAGGACATGTCTAGATTTAATGTCAGGGCAAAGCTTTACCTTTACCTTTTTTCCACCCCAAGGCAGCCTTAATATTATGAAAAGTAGGACATATTAATTAAGGGGTTGCAGAAAAGAAGGAGAAAGAGGAGAGAAGAGGAAGAGGAGGAACAGGTGGTTATAACCATCTCTACCTGTCCCTCAGGATGCTCCATAGTTCACCTCCAAGGCAGGCTTCCAAAAGCATGTAAACATATTTGTTGTCTTTGAAAGTTCGGTACAATCTGAAACAAAGCAAAGAGAAAACAAAATAAACCAATGGTCACCAAAAACAAAAGACAATCCCTTTAGCATAGTAGTGATACTTGAAACTTATATAATGTTATAGATGTCATGGATTATCCCATTCTTATCCTTACTGCAAATCTATAGAGCAGAGGCAGTCAGTTTTCATGGGCCCACACTGTTGGCACATGACACACTTAAGGCCACAGCTCCAGCACCACCATGGTCTTCACGAACTGCGAGTGTGGAGAAGAGCAAACCACAGACCACCTGCTGCAATGCAACCTGAGCCCTGCTACATGCACAATGGGGGACCTCCTTGTGGCAACACCAGAGGCACTCCAAGTGGCCAGATACTGGTCAAAGGACATTTAATCAACTACCAAGTTTGCAAAATTTGTGGGTTTTTTAATCTGTTTGTTTTTTTTTGTTCTGTTAGAAATGTAATACAATGGTATGGTTGCTGATGACACGATAAATAACCATGGTCTTGTTGTTAAGGGAAAGTCTTGTATTGAGTTAAAATGCGCAGATAATCAAAATGGAGATATAAATGCCCTGTGTTGTTAGAAGACTCCCAAAATGAGAGAGACAATTTTCCTTCCTTCCTTCCTTCCTTCCTTCCTTCCTTCCTTCCTTCCTTCCTTCCTTCCTTCCTTCCTTCCTTCCTTCCCTCCCTCCCTCCCTCCCTCCCTCCTTCCATCCTTTTTTTCCTTCCCTCCTTCCCTGCCACCCTTTCTCTCATCTATGTTTGTAAAATGTATTTATATATTTCCATATTTCCCAAAGTATTTTAAAGCTGCTTACCAGTAATAATAAAGCATTAAGACAGTAACAAATCAAACAGCTAAAGGAATAGGAGATCAAAAACAGTTGCAAGCAGACTGAAATATACCAATGAGCAACCTTCCCACAATGAAATTCAAACATTTAAAAATTCATGTCTTCACATTATATTTTCTAATTTGCTCTTGGCAACTCCCTTTTTGGAAGTGGGAAAGGAAATATATAGTTCTTAAATAAGAAATAAATGGTCAGGAAGGGAGCTATGAATTAATAATTTTCTGCAGAATTATTCACCAAAGACTTTTTAAATCAAAGAGGAGATGGGGTGCAGTGCCCTTTAAAGATGGCAAATTCACCATCCTCCATGTCGCCTCTTATAAAAAGTTTGGAATCATGAGTGCAGCTTCCAGATGTTCTCAGCCAGCAGGGTTCTTGGGCTTGTAGTACAAAAAGCAACATTTGCCACTTCTGTTCTTACATCTAGTTAAGAATCCTGGGATAATTATACAGGCTGAGTATCCCTTATTTGAAATCCCAAAATCTAAAATACTCCAGAATTCAAAACTGTCTACACAGGTGGCTGAGCTAGTGACGCTTTTTCTTTCTGATGGTTCAGTGTACACCTACCGTATATACTCAAATATAAGCTGAGTTTTTCAGCCCTTTTTTAGGTTGAAAAAGCCCCCCTCAGCTTATACTCAAGTCAAAGTTATTTATTATTTTACATTGTTATTGTTATTTGAAACACAACAAGATTAGTACACAGCAAACAAGATTATTATGCTGCTTGTTGTATTGGATCCCAAGTGTCTAAGACTATGTGATGTATCAGCAAATAATGCATGCAGATCCCAGTAGGGTGGGCTTTTGCAGCTGACAGATAGTACTTTTGTCAGCGCTGATAGTTTTTAAGTGCAGGCCAAGGTTTTTAGGCACTGCACCCAGTGTGCCAATCACTACTGGGACCACCTTTACTGATTTGTGCCAGAGTCTTTGCCGTTCGATCTTTAAATCCTTGTATTGTGTCAGATTTTCCAGTTGTTTCTCTTCAATCCTGCTGTCATCTGGGATTGCAACATCGGCGATCCATACATGGTTTTTTAACAGGATCGTAAGGTCAGGAGTATTGTGCTCCATTTATTATTTTACTCAATTTTTATTATTACATTTATTATTTTACTCTATAATTATTGTTATTACATTTACATTCTTTTACTCTATTATTATTACATTTATTATTTTAATGTATTTAGTATTATTGTGTTTATTACATTTATTATTTTACTTGTGATTACTACATTTATTATTTTACTTTATTATTATTATGTTTATTATTTTACTCTATTATTGCTGTTATTATTGCATTGACATTATTTTACTCTATTATTATTATTATTATTATTATTATTACATTTATTTTACTCTCTTTATTATGATTGGAAGGATACGTAAGCACATTTACACTGAAGAAGGTTAGAATAATGGTTTAATCAGAGTTGGACAGAATTATCTTAAATTACATTTTTATGTTTGTTGTTCATTCGTTCAGTCGTTTCTGACTCTTCGTGACTTCATGGACCAGTCCACGCCAGAGCTCCCTGTCAGCTGTCACCACCCCCAGCTCCTTCAAAGTCAATCCAGTCACTTCAAGGATACCATCCATCCATCTTGTCCTTGGTCAGCCCCGCTTCCATTCTCCCCAGCATCATTGTCTTCTCTAAGCTTTCCTTTCTTCTCATGATGTGGCCAAAGTACTTCATCTTGGCCTCTACTATTCTTCCCTCCAGTTTTATATAAATATTCAAAAACATTAAACTTATTGATGCCTCAATTAATGTAGTTTTATTGCTATCGATTTTTATTTTGAAATTTACCAGTAGCTGCTGCATTTCCCACCCTTGGCTTAATACATTTTCCCCGTTTTTTGTGGTAAAATTAGATGCTTCAGCTTATATCTGGGTTGGCTTATACAACTTTGTTTCATGCATAAAATTATTTAAAATATTGTGTATAAAATCACCTTCAGGTTACGTGTACAAGGTATATATGAAATATAAATACATTTTGTATTTAGAGCTGGTTTCCATCTCTGAGATATATCATTATGAATATGCAAGTATTCCCAAAAAAATTGGGGAAATAATCTCAAAACATAGAATACTTCTGATGTCAACCATTTAGGGCAAGGGATACTCAGTCTGCATTAATGTTGGGGATAAATTATCATTTGGAAGAAGATAATGCAATGACTCCTGAATGGCACTCTTTAATTTCAAAGTGTATTCTCTGTTAAGGGATTGTCTGCAGGTGGAAATGTAAATCATGGAATATAACACAGACTAAAAACCAGTTAAACAAAAAATAAATTCAGTTTCTATTAATAATCATTAAAGCAAATAGGAGACATAAAGCCATTTACTTCACAATGAATGGAGAACAAGCCTCTTCTAGAATTCTCTTTTCAGAATGAATGTGTTCCTGCTGTTTGGTATCCACTATGTGCTTTTTCTTGATACATTTCATGGCAAATGCTATGGTTTCATTCTTAAGTTTCACCTAAATACATCAAAAAGAGAAAAAAATGATCAAATGGGTTGCACAAAAATAAAGTCTTTCCTTAAAAATTCATTCAGTGTAAACAGAACAAAATAATATTTTGTTTTTTTGCCATAATGAGGTCTGTGGCCATCCGCAGCAATGATGGAGACAGCAAGGTAACGCTATCCTCAGGACCTGTCCAGAGTATTGTTACTCCAGACTGGCACCAGATTATGGACTATGTCTACAGGAGCCCTAAAACAGACTTCTTGGGAATATAGGACTGTCCATTCATTTTTAGTTGTGGATACTTTTAAAATATAGTTTTATGTACACTTTTCTTTACCAAAATCCAACTCAAGCTTTTGGGAATTTACAAATTTCTGAATAAAGGGATGCTTCTTTCTATTTCCTGTCTTTGGAAATAAATAAAGTGGGCCCTTGGTATCTGTTGGGATTTGGTTCCAGGATCTCCAAAAAGCATGGATGCTCAAGTCCCATTCTATACTATGGCATAGTGAAATGGTATCCCTTATATAAAGTTGCAAAATCAAGGTTTGCTTTTTGGAGTTTTTAAAATATACATTTTCAAGCCATGGTTTGTTGACTCCATGGATACAGAATCTGTGGATACAGAGATCTGACTGTAGTTTTTTGATACAGAAATATGAATCCACTGCAATCATTTTCCAGCCTTAACAAGAACCAAAGCCCAGGTGAAATTGGCACTTGACAGCCGTACTGATGGAACAGAGTATCGGAATAAAAGAAAAAGACTGCAACACAGCTTTGTTGTTAACCGAAAGCACCACTAAGGGATTCATATATTAAAGTATAAACTTGGATCAAAGGGTTAAATAAAACATTAGAAGATCAAATTCTTACAAGCTCGACTCTTCCAAATCCACCAACACCCAGAGTAGCAACAATTTCCAGGTTCTGAAATGGGCAAGAGGAAGGAAACTGGTCGACTTTTTCTTTCAGCTGTATCATCTCCAAAGAGACATCACTAGGTAATCGCTCAAAGGAAGAAACTCTGCATTAAAAGAAATAAAATATCCTCTTCAGTCCAGTAACAAAAAATAATATAGCAGTTCACTAACTTTTCCAAAAGCATTTCCTGTAGCCACATACATTGGCTTAGTTCCCCCTCCTAATGGGACATTTCTTGTGTTCTTGTGTTCAGAGACAGGCTGTTTCTGATCTAGCAGCAGAATATGCAAGATGAAAGTAATCGCAAACTAGAGACAGTCTTCTGTTTATATGAAACATTGGCCAACATCTTTGGCATTTTCTTAGGACTTAACTGGAATTGACATACTGCAGCTGTATTGTTTTTCTTCACCATTGCAACAAGGGGAGATGTCTGAGGTCCCATCTACACTGCCATACAATGTAGTTTGAAACTGGATTAAATGTTCGTTGTAGACACATGTAATTCAGTTTGATGGAGTTAAACTATACTACGTGTCTTTACATTACCCATATAAAGCAGTTTCAAATATGATCATATAGATTGTGCTTTATACATAGGCTACCTGCTGATCTAATTCAGTATTTTTATTACAGAATTTCAACTAGACCTTCCCTATAGCCTTACTTGGTGATACCAAAAGCTGGATATGGTATACAAAATATGTGCTGTTCTAATGTGCTGTCCATACTAGTGACTTGACCTGGCAAGCTCATCTTGATCTGAGGGTCAGGTGGAGTTCTCGTCTGGCTGGCAGACGAGAAGCCAGCTCAGTGAAAGGTCATCGCAATGCTATTATGATGATGTGAGCCTAATGTTTTCATGTTAGAAAGGTATTTAGGCTTCTTGCAAACCCTGAGAAAGTGTCAGTTCAACTTAGCTAACTAGGCTGAAAGCTTCATGGAATAACCTTAGCCTGGAAAGCGGTACGCTTGGGATTTCTTGCATTGTGATTCTTGGGGCAATTGTTTCATTGGTTGTACCTGGGACTCTGGTTTGTACTTTGCCAATAGGATTGTGTCTCCTGCTTTTACCTGAAGATCTTTGGAACTATATTCTGCATTTAACCTTAAACTTTGGAACTTTGCAATGCTTATTCTTTATTTTGACTTAGATTTTTTCCTCAATAAACTATAAAACTACAGCTCTTGTGTGGTGGTGTTTGGAAGCAAGGTGAAGCTTACTGTAAGTTGCAACAGTGCTGTCCGTACTATTTCTTCATACTATAGCATACATCCTAGAACTGTGCTCCAAAAAAATTCCTATTTGCGCTCACACAAAATTTATTAATATAGCATGACATTCAGTTCATGGTTCTTTGAACCCAAGCCATATCATTGGTATTTATATCCACTGTTTTTACCACATATACAAATCATCCATTTAGTATTATATAACCACAGTTACCATATCATTTGGATTTACACTTCTTCTGTTTGCCTAGGAGGGTATTTATTTTCCTCCATGAAGATACCAGATCCTCTCTGATCATGGGAGCTAAGCAAGGTGACTCCCAGATATTACTTGGATGGGGACTGCCAATGATTAACAGGTGTTAGGCTATATTTCAGAGGAAATAACTGGTAAATAAGAGCCTGGAGAACAAGTCCTATGAGAAGTGACTTAAAGGGCTGGGCATGTTTAGCCTGCAGAAGAGAAGGCTGAGGGGAGACATGATGAAGTCATAGGGAGGAGGGAGCAGGCTTGTTTTCTGCTGCCCTGGAGACTAAGACACTGAACAATGGCTTCAAACTACAGGAAAGGAGATTCCACCTGAACATTAGGAGGAACTTCCTAACTTTGAGAGCTGTTCAGCAGTGGAACTCTCTGCCCCAGAGTGTGGTGGAGGCTCCTGCTTTGGAGGCTTTTAAACAGAGGCTGGACCATTACCCGATGTGAATTACCCGATGGCCTCTGTGGCACTGGCAGAACAAGTCAAGTTTTGCTTCTCTTGGATGAACATCTCATTAGGCTTAATGACTAAGCATGATGGGAAGAGAGGAATATGACCTGAAAACTATATGCATACAGTTTACTCAATTGACAAGAAACATTCTATTGCATAGGAATAGAAAAGATCTCTCTCCATGTAGAGTAGGCTCAGTAAATAATAATCCACAAAGAAATCCACAAAGGTGGAGGGAGAAGTTTATGTCCCTTTGTATAGAAATTAATATTCTGTTTACTTTAAGTGAAAAGGAAGGGCCACCTTCATGTGTGCATGATATGAACTATCTTTCAACATGAAAAAAATAATAATGCTCATTCGGATTTTCTATATTAATGCTCATTCAGATGATCGGTTAAAACTTAAAGCATTCAAAAGGAAAAAGTGTCTCATACTATATATAGCAGTGGTTCTCAACCTTCCTAATGCTGCATCCCCTTAATACAGTTCCCCATGTTGTGGCGACCTCCAACCATTACATTATTTTTGTAGCTACTTCATAACTGTAATTTTTTTCCTGTTATGAATCACAATGTAAATATCTGATATGCAGGATGTATTTTCATTCACTGGACCAAATTTGGCACAAATACCTGATTGCCCAAATTTGAATAGTGATAGGGTTGGAGGGGGGTTGATTTTGTCATTTGGGAGTTGTAGTTGCAGGGATTTATAGTTAACCTACAATCAAAGAGAATTTTGAATTCCACCAATGATGGAATTGAACCAAACTTGGAATATAGAACTCCCATATAAGCAACCAGAAAATATTGGAAGGGTTTGGTGGGCATTGACCTTGAGTTTTGGAGTTGTAGTACACCTACATCCAGAGAGCCCTGTGGACTCAAACAATGATGAATCTGGACCAAACTTGGCACAAATATTCAATATGCCCAAATGTGAACACTGGTGGAGTTTAGGGAAATAGACCTTGACATTTGAGAGTCATAGTTGCTGGGTTGTATAGTTCACCTACAATCAAAGAGCATTCTGACCCCCACCAATGATAGAATTGGGCCAAACTTCCCACACAGAACCCCCAGGACCAATAGAAAATACTGGGTTTTCTGATGATCTTTGGCAACCCCTGTGACACCCCCTTGTGACCCCCCCCCCCCAAGGCGTCCTGACCCTCAGGTTGAGAAACGTTAATATATGGCATCATCTCCCATTACTATGCTTCTATATTTCTGGCTTCAAGCAGTTGTCCCTTCCCTTGCAAAAACTTCAGCACAAAAGTTAATTTGGAAAGCTTTCCAATTTTGGATTTAAAAGATTAATTTAAGGAAAATCTGGCTGAGATAGTTTAGAATTTTTTTCAAAGTTTCCTTCTATACCAGATATCAAAACTACGTGCAGATGAGCTTCGTTTGCTTCCTACAGTTCTATTTAAAGCATTTTTCTAATAGTACAATTTCATGAGATATTAAATATTGATTGCATTCTATCTCTTTGGGTACCTTGAATCAGTATATTTATAGTTTTATGAAATTGCTTTGAGGTCTTTTATACATTTACAGAAGAGCTTTGAAAAATTATTGGTTGGATTTACAGAATCCCAGTCATCGTGGGAGTTGTTTTGGAGACTTTGTACTCCCAAACAATAATTTTTCTAAGCTCTTGTTTACACAAATGATCTGAAGGTCAGAAAACTGGTCATCTGAATACCAACTGCAATATCTTCAACTAATGGACCCATTCTTCTCCTATATTAATGCTCATTTGGATGATCTATTAAAACTAAAAGCACTAAAAGGAAAATGAGTCTCATAGCATATATAGCATCATATTCCATTACTATGTTTCTATATTTCTGGCTCCAAGCGGTAATCCCTTCTCTTGCAAAAACTTCAGCACAAAAGCTAATTTGGAAAGTAATCTTAGCCATATATTTATTTTTAACAATAATTTATTGCCTCCTCTGCTTACTGCTCATTACTGTTGCCCTACAGAAGAAAATGTTTTCTCAAGGCAGCATACAAGGAACAATAAGATCTTTACATGAGGATTAATGGGGTGCAGTGGTTTAAGTGTTGGATTAGGGCTCTGGAAGAACAGGGTCCAAATCCATGATCAGCCATGGAAACCTCCTGAATTACCTTGACCAAATCACACTTTTAGCCTTAGAGGAAGTCAATGGTAAATCTCCAAATAAATCTTGCTCCAAATAAATCTTGCTGGGAAAACTCATCATGGAGTCACCCTAAATTTGACGGAAGAACTTCCTGACTGTGAGAGCTGTTCAGCAGTGGAACTCTCTGCCCCGGAGCGTGATGGAGGCTCCTTCTTTGGAAGCTTTTAAACAGAGGCTGGATGGCCATCTGTCAGGGGTGATTTGAATGCAACATTGCTGCTTCTTGGCAGAATGGGGTTGGCCTGGATGGCCCATGAGGTCTCTTCCAAGTCTTTGATTCTATGATTCTATGACAGCACATTTAGTTTAAAGCAACAAAAATAATAGAATCACAGAGTTGGAAGACACTTTGTGGGCCATCCAGTCCAACCCCATTCTGCCAAGGAGTAGGAAAATCACATTCAAAGCACCCCTGACAGATGGCCATCCAGCCTCTGCTTAAAACCCTCCAAAGAAGGAGTCTCCACCACACTCCAGGGCAAAGAGTCCTACTGCTGAACAGCTCTCACAGTTAGGAAGTTCTTCCTCATATTCAGGTAGAATCTCATTTCTTGTAGTTTGAAGCCATTATTCCATGTCCTAGTCTCCAGGGCAGCAGAAAACAAGCTTGCTTCCTCCTCCCTATGACTTCCCCTTACATATTTCTACATGGCCCTCATCATGTCTCCACTCTGCCTTCTCTTCTTCAGGCTAAATATGTCCAGCTCTTTAAGCCACTCCTCATAAGGCTTGTTCTCCAGACCCTTGATCATTTTAGTCGCCCTCCTCTGAACACATTCCAGCTTGCCAACATCTCCCATATATTGTGGTACCCAGAATTGGACACAGTATTCCAGGTGTGGTCTTGTGAAAACATATCATTTCCCAAGAATATAAATTATACTATGAAAGACGGCATCACGTTTGCAGTGCAGCTCTACCTATAGTGATCCCGTAAATCCAAATTGAGTTGTCCTAAACTGGTTGAGATCAGGGCATGGAGGAGTGAAACTGAGGTCTTATTTGAATCTGTGGAGAATAAAGAGTTTGCCAATAGTCTGAGAAGATGAATCCAGTTGTTGGGCATTTGAGTGTGGGGATGGAGCTATCCTTGGATGCATTAAGCTACCACGGAACAGCTGGGAATACCCATTGTGTAATGAGATACTGGATATGCAAAACTGGAAAAAGCAGCTATACTGGCAACCTTCTTAATTGCATTAATGTAAAACCCCTAGAAGATACCACTCAAAACTGCATGCAACCAGGATTAAGATTGTGTACAGGTAATTTTCTATGAGAAATCTCTTTGCTTAAGGAAGTTTTTGAGACCTCGCTACCTCTGAGGATGCTTGCCGTAGATGCAGGCGAAATGTCAGAAGAGAATGGCTCTAGGCCATGGCCATATAGCCCAAAACAACCTACAACAACCCAGTGATTCCTGCCATGAAAGCCTTCGACAATATATTATATTATTAGCATAGTACAATATCAGTATTATATATTACTATATTGTACTATACTATTAGATTGTATGAAACAGCTACATCTAAGAGATTGTAACACTTGGCAAAGACTGTGTTAGGTTTGGCTTTGGCAAGTATCAAAGTGGGTGGACAACATTGACCAAAGTATCAAAATCAGAGGTGCTGCGGCATTCTATGAATTTTAAACAAGCTCACTGCCCAAATGTAGAAATGACATCTTTACTGTCTACCTTTTCACATCAGGTTGCCTTCCCGGCAACTTTGAGCATCAGATACATGAAGATGAAGACTTACTGTGCATTCCTTTTTTCATCATCACGAGCCAGAGTAGCCACGTAACCCGCAAGATAAGCCTGGAGTTCCTCAAAAGTCCCAACGGTTTGGTTGAAGGTTCTGCAGGCACAAATAGGATGAAGAAACATAGTAGCATTCTGCTGAAGTATCCCATTTCCATGCATTATATTATATTTATATTAAATTGTTTTTCCAGTTAAAGATTCTATACAATACTAGTATAGGTTGAGCATCCATTAGCCAAAACCTGAAATGCTCCAAAATCAGAAGTTGTCCATGTGGATTTGGCACTATAGATGAGTCCTAAGGAAGGGACGTGCAGCCTTTTTTTTGCTCTGGCAGCTGCAGATGATGCTAAGGTATGGGGAAATGCATGGCAGGAACATGCATTTGCAGACATACCACCAATATCTGTTATACACTTGTAGACATACCACCAATCTGGGTTGTTGCAGGTTTTTTTGACCTCACTATCTCTGAGGATGCTTGCCATATAAGCAGGCGAAATGTCAGGAGAGAATGCCTCTAGACCATGGCCCTATAGCCCAAAAAAACCTACAACAAGCCAGTGATTCCAGCCATGAAAGCCTTCGACAGTACATACCACCAATCCTTTTTATTGATGTGAGAGAGCAGAGAGCTTTCTCTCAATCCCCTCACCAAGAACTGAAAGAGTAATCTTTGCTCAATAAGATTGAGTGCCAGGGAGTCAGCAATAATTCAAATTAATAGGGGATATACTTAAGGTCTTGCAGTTTCCAAGTTGTGTGCACTAGGCCTGGGTAACAACGCAAAAATTTGTTTCTAAAATCGATTTGTATTTGGGGGGTTTTTTTGTTTCGATATTTAAAATAATTACAAAATTTTCCCTTAAAAAAGTTCGGTATTTACGAAATTTCGTTAATATTTACAAAACATTTTGTAAAGATGGCGCCCTTTTTTTTTCAATATTTTTTCAATATTTTTTTAATTTAATTATTAATTTAGTAGAATAGGGAGGAGAAATTATTATTAAGGAGGGAAGGCAGGCACTCACTCTGGCGGGCCCTCAAGCGCTGCCGCCGAGTCGGGCCCGGCTCCTCCGAAGCTAAGGTTTCAGTGCGGAATTGGGAGAAGGGGCTCCCCAAAGGCCATCTAGTCCCGCCCTCTGCTATGGTCTCAATGCGAAATTGGGAGAAGGGCTCCCCAAAGGCCATCTAGCCCAGCCCTCCGCTAAGGTTTCAGTGCGGAATTGGGAGAACGAAGCACACCCACCGCAAAGGTGAGGAAGGAGGGACGGGCCGCCTTCCCGCTGAGGGTCGCTCGCCCTCTCGCTCGCTTGCTCAGCCGGCGCCTTCCCCGCCCTCTCCTCCTCCTCCTCCTCCTCCTCTTTCAGGCTCTGACTGGCTAAGGAGAGGAGAGAGAGGAGAGCTCCCAGCAAGCATCTAGCCATCTTACGTATTTCCGAAATGGACGGAAATACAAAAATATTTGGCGCATGCCGTTTCGATATTTAAAAACACTTCCGGGTTTAAAAATAAGTTTTGTAATCGTTTTGTAATTGCTAAAATTAATGAATATTTAACGAATTACAAAATTAACGAACGAAACCGCCCAGGCCTAATGACTATAGCTGAGAATTCCTTATCTTTTTCTCTTGGAGCCTGGCAGAATGCCGGCTTTCATGGCCAGAATCACTGGGTTGTTGTAGGTTTTTCGGTCTGTATGGCCATGTTCTAGAAGCATTCTCTCCTGACATTTCGCCTGCATCTATGGCAGGCATCCTCACAACCTCTAAGGATACCTGCCATAGGTGAGAAAAAAAAAAGCCAATGGGATTTTGGCCTGCATCAATAGGAGCATAGTGTCTAGATCTAGGGAAGTAATGCTACCCCTCTATTCTGTTTTGGTTAGACCACATCTGGAATATTGTGTCCAGTTCTGGGCACCACAATTCAAGAGAGATATTGACAAGCTGGAATGTGTCCAGAGGAGAGCGACTAAAATGATAAAAGGTCTGGAGAACAAGCCCTATGAGGAGCGGCTTAAGGAGCTGGGCATGTTTAGCCTGAAGAAGAGAAGGCTGAGAGGGGATATGATAGCCATGTATAAATATGTGAGAAGAAGCCACAGGGAGGAGGGAGCAAGCTTGTTTTCTGCTTCCCTGGAGACTAGGATGCAGAACAATGGCTTCAAACTACAAGAGAGGAGATTCCATCTGAACATGAGGAAGAACTTCCTGACTGTGAGAGCCGTTCAGCAGTGGAACTCTCTGCCCCGGAGTGTGGTGGAGGCTCCTTCTTTGGAAGCGTTTAAACAGAGGCTGGATGGCCATCTGTCAGGGGTGATTTGAATGCAATATTCCTGCTTCTTGGCAGGGGGTTGGACTGGATGGCCCATGAGGTCTCTTCCAACTCTTTGATTCTATGATTCTATGATTCTTCTCAGCCTGTTTCTGAAACATCAGGAGAGAATGCCTCTAGAACATGGCCATACAGCCCAAAAAACCTACAACAACCCAGTAATTCCAGCCATGAAAGCCATTGACAATACACCAATAAATCACGTGAATCCCCAATTCAGTGAGGCATTTCCGCCTTTGCTCAAGAACTATTGCACAATTGCACACCCTATATCTGTTAAGGTGGATGTACAGAATGTGTTTCTCTCCTGAATGACACAGAAACCTATTTTTCAAACCTGTGCTGGTTTATAATCTCAAAACACATTGGCCCCTTCCCTGTAATCTTTGATAGCTTCACAGCAATCAATGTCACAAAATGACTACAAAAAGAGGTATAATAAAAGTAAATATAATTATAAATATGGCAGGGGCTGTGGTGGCATAATGGGTTAAACCGCTAAGCTGTGAAACTTGTTGACTGGAAGGTCAGCAGTTTGAATCTGTGGGACAGGGTGAGCTCCCATTGTTAGCCCCAGCTTCTGTCAACCTAGATTTTCAAAAACATGCAAAGTAGATCAATAGGTATTGCTTCGGCGGAAAGGTAACAGCGCTCCATGCAGTCATGCTGGCCACATGACTTTGGAGGTGTCTATGGACAATGCCGGCTCTTCAGCTTACAAATGGCGATGAGCACCAGCCCCCAGTTGAACTCGACTAGACCTAATGTCAGGGGAAAACCTTTACCTTTACCTAAATATGCCATCAGCCTGCAGATTATAAAGAGAGTATCACCATGTAAAAGGAATGTACTATTGCTGATATAGAGTACAGTCATGCTGGCCACATGATCTTGGAGGTGTCTACGGACAACGCTGGCTCTTTGGCTTAGAACTGGAGATGAGCACCAGAGTCAGACACGACTGGACTTAATGTCAGGGGGAAACCTTTACCTTTACTATTACATTCTGAGGCACCACGTAAAACGAATGTACTATTGCTGATATATAGAATTAATATATTTGAATCACTGGGAAGAAAAACAGAAAAATATAAGGTTGCTACTTACTCTCTATCGACAACGAGACATTCCACATCATTTTCATCTGCAATTATATTAGCAGACCGAACATCGTCACTGTAAAAAAAGAAGATCAAAACACTGAATCAGCAGAATTCCTCTGGCATAAATAGAAATGTTAAGATGTACATAGCCGATGTTAATTTATGTGTGTGCATTCACATGCTACACGTTCCAGAAACCAGAAAAACTAATGAGATAGCAGTACTATCCCCTACATGCCCATTAACAAGACACATTGGCGAAGAATACAGCCCGATAAACCTTGATCTATTGAGTATAATTGGACTCTTATAAAGCAGTAAAACTTTATTCAGAAATCTAGGGCTAGAATCCTCTACAACAGTGTGCATGACAGAACTTTATGTGTATTTAGCTATGTAGCAAAGGCACTAAGAAACCCTATTAGTGAATTGTGAAGATGCTGAATGGAACCATGGTAAAGAGCGTCTTTATGCCCATTGGTCTTAATGCATATCAGTCCCATTATGCATCAGTACAAATGCATATTAGTTACTTTTCTGGTTCCTCCACATAGTAATGTAATAGTAGTATTTTAGTAGTCTTTCCAGCAGACACCAACCAACCCCTCTCCAATGCCAGTGATACAGTTTAATGGTGTAACATTAGAAAATGTTGATCATTTCCGCTACCTTGGCAGCCACCTCTCCACCAAAGTCAACATCGACACCGAAATACAACACCGCCTGAGCTCTGCGAGCGCAGCATTTTTCTGAATGAAGCAGAGAGTGTTTGAGGACCGGGACAGCCGTAGGGATACCAAGGTGCTTGTTTATAGAGCTATTGTCCTCCCAACCCTGCTATATGCCTGTGAGACGTGGACTGCCTACAGACGTCACATGCAACTCCTGGAACGATTCTATCAACGCTGCCTCCGGAAAATCCTGCAAATCTCCTGGGAAGACAGGCGGACAAACATCAGTGTGCTGGAAGAAGCAAAGACCACCAGCATTGAAGCGATGGTCCTCCGCCATCAACTCCGCTGGACCGGCCATGTTGTCCGGATGCCCAACCACCGTCTCCCAAAGCAGTTGCTCTACTCCGAACTCAAGAACAGAAAATGGAATGTTGGTGGACAGGAAAAGAGATTTAAAGATGGGCTCAAAGCCAACTTTAAAAACTCTGGCATAGACACTGAGAACTGGGAAGCCCTGGCCCTTGAGTGCTCCAGCTGGAGGTCAACTGTGACCAGCAGTGCTGCAGAATTTGAAGAGGCACGAATGGAGGGTGAAAGAGAGAAGTGTGCCAAGAGGAAGGCGCATCAAGCCAACCCCAACCAATACCACCTTCCACCTGGAAACCAATGCCCTCACTGCGGAAGAAGATGCAGATCAAGAATAGGGCTCCACAGCCACCTACGGACCCACAAGAACACTGGAAGACAATCATCCTCAGAAAGCGAGGGATCGCCTAAGTAAGTAAGTAAGTAAGTAGTCTTTTACTAGATTACAGAGCGGTCTGATCCTAATTCCTGCAATGATAATTTTAATGCTAGATCCCACTTTAGGGTTTTGATCTTACAAAAAAAAGTCTTATTTTTAGAGTGATATAAACCTAACTACCATCATCTCCTCATATTGTCTGTAAATATTCAACTTGCATTATTTGAATGTTATGATGCAGAAAAAATAATACAAAGAGAGAGTCTTGTGGCACCTTATAGTCTAAAATGGCTTTTTAATGGCATGAGTGTTCTTGGGTTGTAGTTCAGACGCAGTTGGAGAAATGGAGTCCACATAAATATAATGTAAATAACACACACATTTTAAAAGCAACCTTTGGGTGTTATTTTGTTTTAAGTTCATAACATTTTAATCTTTAAATATTTATAGACCAGCCAATCCAATGCTGTATATTCCTCTCAGAAAAGCTGGGATTTCTTATTGATTGTTGGAATGGGGAGAGGCCACTTGGCTTACTCAACATAGGAATGTTGCATATGAGTTGATCATGATGGGAGGTTTATTTACGAAATTATAAAACGGATTGATAAAATAATTTGAATTAGTTTCATACTAGGTCAACCTCTGCATGAATACATATTGAATTATGGTTTGGCCAACCCATTCTTTGAAATCTTCCATGTAACTAGGCATCTTCAGGAAAAATAATATAGATATTTGGGCAATACAAAATTTACCATTCCAATGGTCAAAAAAGATGCTGTGAGTGAAGAAGTAGTAGATTAGATACCTAATCTTAAGTGCTCTATGTGCTAAAAGAAAAAAGGTTAGTCATTTACAACAATTCTGCCCACAACTTATTCTATAGGTGTTTCCATGAACAGCTCCAACATCGCCCAAAAAGTGGGTTGATGTGAGTTTTCTGGACTGTAAGGCCATGTTCCAGAAGCATTCTCTCCTGACGTTTCACCCACATCTATGGCAGGTATCCTCAACAAAAAGGAGGAAACCATGAAAATGAACAAAATCTGGCTAGCAATATTAAAAAACTCTACAATCATGATAGTAAAAAAAAATTGCAACACTCAAAAAACAGGGGAATTCCAGACAAGAATCAGGGCCAGGACCCTTCCACACTGCCATATAACTCAGAATATCAAGGCAGATAATCCACAATATCTGCTTGAACAGGGTTTTCTGAGTCCACGTTGCTATATAATCCAGTTCAAAGCAGATAATGTGGGATTTTATATAGCTGTGTGGAAGGGTCCCCAGATAACACTTCCCAACAAAGGATTCCTCCAGGCAGGAACCAGCCAGGCTCTGAAGCTGAAAGGCCATTCAATGCTAATCAAGGTGGCCATTTGCAACATACACATTTGCCCCAAGCAGATGAGAGTTCTTTCCTCCACCTTGGAGATTCTACAGATAGATAAACCTGCACTTGCCTAGTTTCCAACAGACCTCACAACCTCTGAGGATGCCTGCCATAGATGTGGGGTCTTTTTTGTCGTGTCAGGAGAGACTTGAGAATCTGCAAGTCACTTCTGGTGTGAGAAAATTGGCCGTCTGCAAGGATGTTGCCCAGGGGACGCCCGGATGATTTGATGTTTTATCATCCTTGTGGGAGGCTTCTCTCATGTCCCCGCATGAGGAGCTGGAGCTGGTAGAGGGAGCTCATCTACCTCTCCCCGGATTCAAACCTGCGACCTGTAGGTCTTCAGTCCTGCCAGTACAGGGGTTTAACCCATTGCACCACCGGGGGCTCCATATAGATGTGGGTGAAACGTCAGGAGAGAATGCTTCTGGAACATGGCCAGACAGCCTGGAAAACTCACAGCAACCCAGTGATTCTGGTCATGAAAGCTATCGGCAACATCACCCAAAAACAACTGGGAAGTAAATGTGAATGTTTATGAACCAAAAATAATTTTGAACTAACCTGATGAGGGCTCTTTCTCCAAAGTAATCTCCTTTTTGTAGTGTTTTAATCAGGGTTTGTGGCTGTCCTTCCGCGGTCTGGGTGACCTTAACCTAGGAAACAGAGGACTACATGTCACTTGTCTAATACTAATACAGTGAAATCTACTAATTTCCTTTAGTCTCTCCTCATGCATTATTCACTCTCCTCCAAAAGTATAAACAAGAGGCAACAAAACAATAGATTATTAAAAATCCACTTGGGTTTAATCAAAGCAAATAAAGCAGCATAACAAAACATAGCTTCCCTCTCTGTCTCTTGAAACCAGGCTAACACTTTTAAATGCTGGAAGGGAGCATTTCCATTTGCATGGAAATGTTTGGCTTCATAGACATTTAGTGCTATCCATCAAACCATTCCCGGATGATAGGCTTCAATACCCATTCATTTCAAATGACAAACCTGAATATGCATGAATGTCGTGTGTGTGTGTGTGTGTGAATATTCATCCCCTTTAGGTGAAAAGATCAGGGGCTCTCCATGCAAGTGGAAACATCATCGCTTCCCAATACCCATTCTGGTGAAGAACACTTGGCAAAGCAACCGATGAATAATTACCCATCTCATATGGGTTGCAAACGTAGGAATGCAAAACAGACTAGTCCCCATTTCTTGAGGAATACAGGATGAACGGCAAGCGACAGGTGTGAGCATTTTTGAATCCTCTCTCACAAATAGAAGATGAATCAATCAAGGAGAAAGACACAGCGTATATATGGTATGTGTGTAAAAACTGGAAGGTCTAATGACAATTACACACTAAATCATAAAGGTTGAGCATCTCTTATCTGAAAATTCAAAAACAGAAAAACTCCAGAACTCAAAATTGCTAACATGGGAGGGCTGAGATTGTGACACCTTTGCTTTGCATACGTTGAAATGGTTCAACATATGCAAAAATTGTTGTGTTTACAATCATAGAATCTAGAGCTAACAGCAGGAGCTTACCCTGTGTCATGGATTCAAACTGCCAATATTCAGGTCAGCAGTTCAGCAGCACAAGGGCTTAACCCATTTTGACACCTCAGCCCCTAAGATATGTGCCTTAGGCTGGAACTACAGCGTACTGCATACTATTTGAGATCACTACCTGACTAAGGCAAGAATAGGAATCCCCTTTCTCCCCTTTGACAAAATAGCTTGCAAAAGCTTAATTTATTTTCTGGGGACGAGACCATTTTTCCATTCCCAGATTCAGTGTGCAAATTGCTGGAGCGGCACCCAACAAGAGTGATTACTGTCAATTCACGTTTTCTTGCCTAATGTAAGGAGGCCGCAGAAGTGTTTACTGCTGGAGCTTGCCAACTGGTAATGCACCATCTGTCCCTAGTCCTGCATGACTGCTGATTTGTTTGTTATTCAGTAGTTAACATATACATGTTTTTTGATTAAGTCTCTCCACCTTCTGCATATAATGAAAAAAGAGAAAGCATTTCTTTCTGCTGTGTTTTTAAAGCAAGGGATCATTTAAGACTGGCTTGGGTCCAGAGAGCTATTCTGGGCATGCCTAAAGGCAGAGAGACAAAGGTTAAGATTTTGTCTTATGCCCTTTAAACAGCAGACCAAGGATGATGAAGACTTGGCCTTCAGATCAATAGTATATACCCTCTGTCTAAATAATCATCTGCTATCCCATTTTTGGAGCCCCCAGTGGTGCAGTGGGTTAAACCACTGAGCTGATAGACTTGCTGACCAAAAGGTCAGTGGTTCACATTTGGGGAGTGGGTTTTTTTTGTCATGTCAGGAGCGACTTGAGAAACTGCAAGACGTTTCTGGTGTGAGAGAATTGGCTGTCTGCAAGGACGTTGCCAAGGGGACGCCCAGATTATTTGATGTTTTTATCATCCTTGTGGAAGGCTTCTCTCATGTCCCCGCATGAGAAGCTGGAGCTGATAGTGGGAGCTCATCCACCTCTCCCCAGATTCAAACCTGCGACCTGTCGGTCTTCTGTCCTGCCGGCACAGCGGTTTAACCCACTGCATCACCAGGGGAGTGGGGTGAGCTCCCACTGTTAGTCCCAGCTTCTGCCAGCCTAGCAGTTTGAAAACATGCAAATGTGAGTAGATCAATAGGTACCGCTTAGGTGGGAAGGTAACGGCGTTTCATAGAATCATAGAATCAAAGAGTTGGAAGAGACCTCATGGGCCATCCAGTCCAACCCCCTGCCAAGAAGCAGGAATATTGCATTCAAATCACCCCTGACAGATGGTCATCCAGCCTCTGTTTAAAAGCTTCCAAAGAAGGGGCCTCCACCACACTCCGGGGCAGAGAGTTCCACTGCTGAATGGCTCTCACAGGCAGGAAGTTCCTCCTCATGTTCAGATGGAATCTCCTTTCTTTCTTCATGCAGTCATGCTGGCCACATGACCTTGGAGGTGCCTATGGACAACGCCGGCTCTTTGGCTTAAAAATGGAGATGAGCACCACCCTCCAGAGTCGGACTCGACTACATTTAATGCCAAGGGGAAAACTTTACCTTATCCCACTTTTACACCTGCTTTTAAAATGTCCCATTTTCTCTGTCCTTCTCCCACCTTTCTCTTCTGTTATTATTTAATTTCATTTGCTGAAAACTGAGTTCAAACAGCAAGGATAATTTATATTAAATTAATCCAGGAAGGTGAGAGAAGAGAAGGCAGTTGAATTTTGACTTTCCCTCCAGACTCGGGGGAAAAGCAAACTGCTGCAGATTAACTCAGATGCTTTTCTTCATTAATAATGTTGATATCTCGATCATCCCTTAATGTTGCTTAGTCAAGTGTGTCCTGCTTTCCTATTTGGAAGCATGAATACTTTACTATGGCTTAAACATTGCATGCTCTCCCTAGCCTCCAGTGTCACATTGGCCAAAAGACAGCTTCATGCACACTTCCATTAGCAAACATGGGCATTCCTCTTTCCTGGTTTCTTACCTTCCCTTTGGCTATAACAAAGAATGTGTTTCCTTCTTCTCCTTCACGAATAATATAATCACCTTTATCATAGTATTCCTATGGGGCAGAAAGAATGCAAGATTATAAAAAATGTAGCAGGCTATTTCCATCTTTTCAAGGCCCTCAAGTAAAGCCAACAGCATTTTATAACACATTGTCAAACGTCTTGGTTTTAAAGCAGAAAGTTATTCACATCCACACCAAACCTGCAGTCCAGACTTTGATAACAAGGTTATATTATTCAGTCTACATAAACCCAGGTAGATTGAAATATATAGCTCCGAGCAGGAATGAATGATTGCAGCATTGCATAATTACTACTAAACTTGCAGATTTTATGCATCAGAACCACAAAGCAGCTTTGAGCAAGAAGAATATGCAAATTCCAAAAATCCAGAGCTTGAGAATACTAGTAGAAGGAGGGATACTATGAGTTAAGCACACTGAACCATTGGCTGCATTTGTATTCTTGCATAGTCCTGTTATTCTATCTGCTTTTCATCACTTAGAAAGTATTTAGAAGAGCTAACTGGTCATTATGATAATTCCATTCCCTCCAACAGTTAGTAGTAATATTCCTAGATGAAGTTTAGAAAAAGTCAATATTTTCTCTCTTCCTCAAAAATTACTAAAATATAAATAAACGGGCCCAACTGCAAATCTATATAAATAAAAATGTAATGTTTGTTTGTGGGATTAACATAAATCAGAAACCACTGGACGAATTGACACCAAATTTGAACACAATACACCTATCAGACCAATGAGTGTCCATCACCCCTAAAAACACACAAAAAAACCCAGCAGAACAGACTTAAATCCCCCCCCCCAAATAAACTATATATACATATACACATACACTCATATACATATACACAAAACATATGTTATCGGGAGCAGCTCAGGACTTCATGTCTGCCATGGCAACCATGGGGCTGTCCCAACAGGTATCTGGCCCCACCCACAGTGCTGAACACACATTGGACTTGGTTTTCTGTCAGGGATGGGAGGAAGGTGGCGGTGTTGAGGAGTTATCCATCTCTCCGTTGCCATGGACCGACCACCACCTGGTCAGCTTTAGACTCACTGCACCCCCTAACCTCCGCAGAGGTGGAGGACCCATTAAGTTGGTCCGCCCCAGGAGGCTTATGGATCCGGATGGATTCCTGATGGCTCTTGGGGAGTTTCCCGCCACTTCGGTTGGTGATCCTGTTGATGCCCTGGTCGCTCTCTGGAATGGGGAGATGGCTAGGGCAATAGACACGATTGCTCCAGAACGTCCCCTCTCAAGTAGCTGAGCTAAACCAGCTCCTTGGTTTACTGAGGAGCTGGCAGCTGATGAAGCGAAGGAAGAGGGAACTAGAGAGCGTGTGGCGTTCGGACCCAAGCGAGCCAAATCGAGCACGGTTTGTGTCCTTTTTAAGGGCATATGCCGCGGCAATAAAAGCCGCAAAGAAGACTTTCTTTGCGGCCACTATTGCGTCTGCAAAGAACCGTCCGGCTGAACTGTTCCGAGTTGTCAGAGGCCTGTTAAAACCCACCATGCAGGATGGGTGCCCTGATGACTCGGCAGCTCGCTGTGAAGCTTTTGCTCAGTTCTTTGCAGACAAAGTCGCTTTGATCCGCTCTGGTCTGGATACCATATTAACGGCAGTAGTCTAAACGAGATGTAACCAGAGCGTGGACTACCGTGGCCAAGTCAGACTTCCCAAGGTACGGGTGCAGTTACTCTGAGGATGTAACACGAGCATCTGCTTGTCCGGTTTTGATGGATTCATTTCAATTGGTGCAACCCGAGGATGTGGACAAGGTGCTTGGAGGAATGAGAGCTACCACATGCATCCTAGACCCCTGCCCATCCTGGCTTCTGAAGGAGGCCAGAGGGGGATTGGCTGAGTGGGTGAAGGTGGTGGTTAATGCCTCCCTTCGGGAAGGCAAATTCCAGCCAGCTTAAAACAAGCTGTAATAAAACCGCTGTTGAAAAAACCATCACTGGACCCCACTAAATTTGACAACTATCGGCCTGTTTCCAATCTCCCCTTTTTGGGCAAAGTCCTGGAACGTGTGGTGGCCTCACAACTCCAGGTATTCTTGGTAGACACGGATTATCTGGATCCGGCACAGTCTGGCTTTAGGCCGGGGCATGGTACCGAGACAGCCTTGGTCGCCTTAGTGGATGATCTGCGCCGGGAGCTCGACAGGGGGAGTGTGTCCCTGTTGGTGCTGCTGGACCTCTCAGCGGCCTTCGATACCGTCGACCACGGTATCCTTCTGGGACGCCTCGCGGGAATGGGTCTTGGAGGGACTGTTTTACAGTGGCTCCGCTCATTCCTGGAGGGTCGGTCTCAGAAGGTGTTACTGGGGGACTCCTGTTCAACCCCACAACCTTTGTCTTGTGGGGTTCCTCAGGGTTCAATATTGTCTCCCATGTTGTTTAACATCTACATGAAGCCGCTGGGTGAGATCATCCGGAGTTTCGGAGTGCGATGTTATCTGTACGCGGATGATGTCCAACTCTGTCACTCCTTCCACCTGCTACTAAGGAGGCTGTCGAGGTCCTGAACCGGTGCTTGGCCGCTGTGACGGTCTGGATGAGGGCGAACAAATTGAAATTGAATCCAGACAAGACAGAGGTACTCCTGGTCAGTCGTAAGGCCGAACAGGGTATAGGGTTACAGCCTGTGTTGGATGGGGTCGCACTCCCCCTGAAGACGCAGGTTCGCAGTTTGGGTGTGATCCTGGACTCATCGCTGAGCCTGGAACCCCAGATTTCGGCGGTGACCAGGGGAGCATTCGCACAGTTAAAACTTGTGCGCCAACTGCACCCGTACCTTGGGAAGTCTGACTTGGCCACGGTAGTCCACGCTCTGGTTACATCCCGTTTAGACTACTGCAACGCTCTCTACATGGGGTTGCCTTTGAAGACGGCCCAGAAGCTCCAACTGGTCCAACGTGCGGCAGCCATGATACTAACAGGAGCGGGCGCAGGGAGCATACAACTCCTCTGCTGCACCAGCTCCACTGGCTGCCGATTTGCTACCGGGCTCAATTCAAAGTGCTGGCGTTGGCCTTTAGAGCCCTAAACGGTTCTGGCCCAACCTACCTATCCGAACGTATCTCGGCCTATCAGCCCACCAGGACCCTAAGATCTTCTGGGGAGGCCCTGCTCTCTATCCCGCCTGCTTCACAGGTGCGGCTGGTGGGGACGAGAGACAGGGCCTTTTCTGTGGTGGCCCCTCGGCTATGGAACGCCCTTCCCATGGAGGTAAGATCAGCCCCCTCGCTGTTGGTGTTCCGTAGAAAATTAAAAACCTGGATGTTCGAGCAGGCATTTGGTTAATTCGGTGCAATGAATGTAATGATTAAAGGTTTGGTAATATAGACGACGAAATTGGATCACGATTTTAGTCAGGAGATGCATTGGATTGTTATTGATATGCGAATATTGTGTATTATGTTTTATGGTTTTAAATTGTATACTGTTGATTGTTGTATTTTGTTGTAAACTGCGTTGAGTCGCCGGCTAGGCTGAGAAACAGCAGTATACAAGTATAGCAAATAAATAAATAAATAAATATAAACAGACTGGGCCACAGCAACGCGTGGCAGGGGACGGCTAGTCTACATAAATAAAAATGTAATATTCATTTGTGGGATTAACATAATTCAAAAACCACTGGATGAATTGCTGCCAAATTTGGCCACATGACACCTACTAACCCAAGGAGTGACCACCACTCAAAAAAATTGAGTTTGTCATTTGGGAGTTGTAGTTGCTGGGATTTATAGTTAACCTACAATCAAAGAGCATTCTGAACTCCACCAATGATGGAATTTAACCAAACGTGGCACACAGGACTCCCATGACCAACAGAAAATACTAGAAGGGTTTGGTGGGCATTAATGTTGAGTTTGGGAGTTGTAGTACACCTACATCCAGAGAACACTGTGGACTCAAACAATGATGGATCTGGACCAAACTTGGCATGAATATTCCATATGCCCAACTAGGAACACAGATGGAGCTTGGGGGAAATAGACCTTGACATTTGGGAGTTGTAGTTACTGGGATTTATAGTTCACCTACAATCAAAGAGCAATAGAAACAAACAATACAAACAATAGAATTGGGGCAAACTTCTCACACAGAACCCCCATGACCAACAGAAAATACTTAAGGCCAACCAATCCAACTCCCTTCACCAGGGCAAGAAAACATAATCAAATACTGTTTACCCACAAGCATAAAGAAATTACATATATTAGAAACCAACATTTTCTCATTACTTTATTTTCCAGATCATCAGACTGGGTCACAGCAATGCCTGGCAGAGATGGCTAGTTGCTAATAAAAACTGTCCCTAGAAGCTAATATGAGAACTGATGTATATTGGACACATCTCAAAAGAAATTGATTAGTAGAAAAGACAATAATGTATTGACAAAGGCTTTCATGACCAGAATCACTGGGTTGTTGCATGTTTTCTGGGCTGTATAGCATGTTCCAAAGGCATTCTCTCCTGACGTTTCACCCACATCTATGGCAGGCATCCTCAGAGGTTGTGAGGTATGTTGGAAACTAAGAAAATGGGGTTTATTTATCTGTGGAATGTCCAGGGTGGGAGAAAGAACTCTTGTCTGTATGAGGTAGGTGTGAATGTCTCAGTTGGCCACCTTGATTAGCATTTAATGGCCTAGCAGTTTCAAGGTCTGGCTCCTTACTGCCTGAGGGAATCCTTTGTTGGGAGGTGATTAGCTGGCCTGATCGTTTCTTGTCTGTTATGATTTTAGAGGGTTTTTTTAAATACTGGTAGCCAGATTTTGTTTATTTTCATGGTTTCTTCCTTTCTGTTGAAATTGTCCACATGCTTGTGGATTTCAATGGCTTCTCTGTGTAGTCTGGCATGGTGGTTATGAGAGTGGTCCAGCATTTCTGTATTCTCAAATAATATGTTGTGTCCAGGTTGGTTCATCAAGAGCTATGGATAACTTCTCTGGTTGAAATAGTCTGCAGTGCCTTTCATGTTCCTTGATTCATGTCTGGGCAAGGCTGCGTT